TGGTGGTGGGCCGTGAAAAAGGGGGGGGGGGGGAAATGTAGGAGTGAATTGGCAAAAAATGGGTGGGTAGGAATCTAATTACATTTATGGTGAACAATGGGCAGCATCCATTTTTAGAAACGTATATCAACAGTTACAAGATACAGATTGCAGAATTGTAAAGCATACAACTGAACCTAAAGACAACCACTGAGGCTTTAGGATAGGACATGACTCACCGCCTGCTCCCTGGCCTTGCGCCTCTCCTCCTCCTCAGCAGGAGTCCTCTGCACTGCAGGCTTCTGATCCTTGCGCCGATTGCGCCGATTTCTGCGCCCCATTCCCAAGCTTAAAGCTCGCACACAGTACCGGGAAAGTCCGCCTATACAAGTCAATATACTCAGCCTGCCGTTCCTAATGCAGAGAAAGACACAGTTTACTGTTACACATAAATCCGAGCAGCTGCACTAATCCTTCCATCCCATAAGGCAAGCACTGAGGCTGAGCACTCACTCTGCCAGCACTACAGGCATACACGTGCAGGCAGAGCGACTCCTACCTGATCGCACCGGTGACGTAGAGGTTACGGGTGCCGTGTGGAACTATGAAAAGGAAGTTCGCGCCACCAACCAATAGAAGGGTCGATTCGTCGTGACGTACTTACTGCCTCCTGCCGCCATATTGGAGAAGGGCAATGCTGGATACAGGCTATTTTATATTTGTAGAATTAAACCCAATTATGTTTTTGTGTAGTTATATGTTCGGCAGGCACAAATTGATATGCCATGTATGTCCAGTAGAGGGGACCGCAAACTTAACACACCATCCAAAGAGCGAAGCACACCACATTAGCCTTATGAAACTTTTCTCGTATGAGTGGACAACGTCACCGCCCACTACGTTTTCCTGCATTCTGATTAGTTGAGCATTGACATATGTGTCCGCCCACTCGTCGGTGAGTGGTTGTTGCTTAGGAGCGGTGGGCTCTATAATAGTGGGTCGTCTGATTAATCTGTAGAGTGTAGTGGGATCGGTAGCGATCGAGTCATGACTGAGCTCCTGGAAGATGAGGCCCGCCTGCTGGATCTCTTGTCGTTGGTCATGGTTCTCATGGGACTTTTATCATTCGCCTTCTTGAGGTTTATCCGTATGCCCTATGGACGCTATGCCAGCTCGACCTTTGGCCCACCGATTCCTGTGCGGTTGGCTTGGTTCATCCAAGAGCTGCCCTCTCTGGTTGTGTCCTTTTATTATGTGTCATCCCAGCCCGAGCTACCAACACCAGCCCTGGTCCTAATGGGATTCTTCATCTGTCACTACATTCAGCGGTATGCAGGCTTCCTAAGCTCCTTTTCCTTCTGTCCTGACTCTGTGGTTTAACTCCTTTTCATTGATTGAGCACATGATAAAGTACACATTTTAGGCTTGAAGAATTTTTAAACCGCCCCCCACCCCCAGTTATATTTTCTGAAAGTGGAGACCCTTGTAGAATAAAATGGTGGCAGTTGCAATTTCTTTGTCACACTGTTCATCAAATATTTTCAATACAAATGCACTTCCATTAATTTTATTATAATACCCAATTGTTTTAGTAAAATATGAAAGGTGAGGCTGTGCTGAGCGAATAGCTTCCAAACATGTCAAGCCTTAAGGCCTAGTTCAGACGGGGCGCACACTGCCTGCGGACACCTGGACCTGCACAGATGTGAACGTTTGGGTGTGCGGATGACAGCGTACAGCCACGTCATCCCATAGGGAAGAACAGACTGCTGTGTGCAATTCCCTCCCGGGATTGCCCTGATTACGGGTGTGCACGCAGTATGGATGTGTACTGTCTGAATGAGGCCTAAAACCGCACTCCTGTGAAATAGAAAAAAACTGCGCTACCCAAAATTTGTCTCTAGGCCATGCTTTAGGTCCCCGTTCACACCTAGGTGTCTTGTCGGTCAAAGGTAAGCGTGACAAAATGCTCAAGTCAAGGAATCCCATTCGTTTCTATGACCCTTATGTTCACACCTGAGTGTTTTGTCACAAGCTGAAAAATGCATGTCGCTAGAAATAGTACATGAGCTACTTTTTGGCAGATTACAGCACCTTTTGGTCCTTTAGACTTCAATGGGAAACTCACAGATCTATTCACAAAAGGGTGTAGAGTAGGGCTGCAGCTAACGATTATTTTCATAATCGATTAGTTGGCCGATTATTAAGTTCGGTTAATCGGATAAAAAAGGCTCCAGTGATGGACTACTAGTTTGTATTGAGATTGTAGTCCATCACCGGAGCAAGCTTGGCGCGGTGGAAGTAAAAAAAAAAGTGTGGTGTGCAATATAGTACATTATACAGCGGCGCAGTGCAGAATACCAGCAGCTATAGAGGAATGTAGCAATAGTACATTATACTATAATGTACTATTGCTGGGATTTGTAGTCCTCTGTAGCTGGCGTTATTCTCCATTGCGCTGTATATAATGTATTATTGCTGGGATTTGTAGTCCTCTATAGCTGGTCCATATCACCCCTGTACTCGTGTTCCACAACGGCACCCCCACACAACTATTCCACCATTGCACGCCAATACACCTGTTACTCGCTGCACCTTCATACACCTGTTCCAACGCTTCACACCCATGCAACTGTTCCACACAGCACCCCCACACACCTCTTCCACTACTGCACCCATACACCTGTTTCACACAGCACCCTTGTACACCTGTTCCACCACAGCACCTCCATACCCCTTTTCCACCACCACAACCCCGCACACCTGTTCCACCACTGCATCCCCGCACACCTGGTACACACTGCACCCCTATTCCACCCCTGCACCCCCATACACCTATTCCACCACTGCACCCCCATACACCTATTCCACCACTGCACCTCCACACAGCTGTTCCACACTGACACCCGTTCCACCACAGCACCCCCCACACACCTGGTCCACACTGCACCCCCACACACCTATTCCACCACTATATCCCCGCACACCTGTTCCACACTGCAGCTCCGTACAGCTATTCCACCACTGACTTGCTTTCAGAAGGTGGGCCCTCGATTGTCAGCGGGCCAGCGACGGGTGAGGGAGATCGCGCCGAGGAGAGCAGCGGCTTCAGCGTGCGGTGGGCGTGGCTTACGCGGCCTGTGCCGTGGGCACGACGGCAGCAACGGGAGCAGCGTGTGGCTCAGGCCGCATGTGGGGCCCCGAACAGGCAAATCAATCGATAGCCGACGAATCGACGATCGAAAACGTTGCCAACGTTTTCAATCGTCGATTTTAATCGACTAAATCGATTAACTGGTTCAGCTCTAGTGTAGAGTTTGGAGAAGGCAGGAGAAGTGAACAATCTAGAATAAAATAGCTGATTTGGAAACATTATTTTAATGTTTTAAAGATTTTTCTTTTCTAAAGATCTTGATCTAAAGGTCACCACACACATTACAATCTAAAATTATTCAGAGCTACTAAGAATAATGTAGTGCAAGGGCATGTCTGCCTGGCCTGATGCTCTCCATTGCCAACATTATGGTAATACACAGCCGTCGGGCCATGAAGTGAAGTTTCTGAGTGCACAGCACGTTCAACCAGTGGTGTGGGAGGTTGTGCTATCGGACAACACGTGCTAAGTGCATGTACCCGCTTGTTTGGGACAGTTAGGCCTTCCGCCTTTAGTTTGAGTGGGTTAGAGGCTGGCGGGGTTGAGGCTGGCAGAGTCTTTATAGGGAGCTGAAGCCTATTGCCATGCACAGGTGGAGCAGTCCAGATGTTAACAGGGTTAATGAGAGAGACAAAGTCTGTCAGAAGGTAGTAAGCTTAGTGCAACCACCTGTCTAAGCCCTGAATTCATGTTCTGCATTTGAGGTGGTTGTCATATGTGCCTTGTTATTCAGAGGTGGTTATGATTATGCGTACCCTGTTCATTTTGTTCCTTGGACAAAAGTTTGTTAAAAATAAAATCTGTGTTACCTTGAAACCTCTGCCTAACAGTAAGCCCCACCACATGTTTGCAGTGCTTTCAAGCTATCCAGAAAGATAAACTTGTAGCTGAGGGCTGGAAAGCTATATAGGACAGCAGATGTTGAAGGATTTACGTGTCTGATCATGTTTCCACAGAACACTTATTTTCCCATTTTTGATTCGTGGAGGAAAGCCTACACCACTTGCTTCCTTTGCTCTTGCATTCACTTTCTGTTGTTATAATGGATACTTACAAAGCAGTTACTTGTGCAAGCATGCTACTCTCCCTTCTAACTGGACACATGACCCAAGATTTATTGCAGGTAAGACTTTTTTCCTATTTTAATACAAACTCGGATCGGGTTCAACAAGTGATTTAGTAGATTAACCCCTTCATGACTATGCTAGTTTTCAGTTTCTGTTCATAAATGACTGACACACTTTTTTTACATTTTTGCTGTGTGATTCTTCCACGGCAGTTATATACTTTCTTACTAAATGTACCCACACATATTATATATAGTTTTTTTTTAGAGGACAGATAGGGCTGTATAATTATATCAAACGTGTACCTAACGCCTTACTTAGTTCGAATAAAATATTACGTAAAGAAAACACTTTTTTTTCACAAGTTTTGATTATTTATTTTTTTTAGAATTGTTTTTATAATTATAGTATAAAAAATATATTTATGTATTTTTATTTTCCTAATTTTTTTACACTTTATTTTTTTTTTACACTGTTAAAAATTTTAAAAAAAAACTTTTTTTTTTTGTCAGTTTATATCAAGCAGTCACTATGGCTGCTTGAAAAATTAACTTTTTACATTTCTGGTTATTATTAGGCTGTTCCAAACTTAGGGACAGCTAATAACCTTTAGAGTCTGATCCTGCCAGCATGTCAGAATCAGATCTCACTAAAGTTTTATGATGGTGCTCAGATGATCAGAAGTGATACATTTCAAGCACAGAGATACATTGTAACATTGTGCCTGAAATGTATTATAAACATCAGGCCAGTCTATGGAACTGTCAAAACGAATAGCAGAGAGGTTACTCACTCTGCTACCTCTCTGCTATTTTCAGCTGTCAAATAGGATTGCTATTTAGCGATCCGGTATTTGCATGTAACGGCTTCATTCTTTCATTAACTGCCTCCGGGCTGGCCGTAGTAGAAAAACGGCCGGCCCGGAGCTCTCTAGATCTGAGCGGGCAGGGCCAGTCATATAGCCACTTCATGGCGGGACGTACAGTGTACGTCTCCCGTCATGAAGGGGTTAAAGATTAATATTTTCTTACAAGCTAGCTTCATACAGTCAGATTCTGCTGCTTTATACAAATGCTAGGCTACATTGTAATTTTGTCTTAAGCGCCTGCTTTGTGGGTTAAAGGAGAAGTATTGGGAGAGTAAAATATACTGTTCCCAATACTTAGAGCCGGCATGGGACACTGAAACTGTCACACACTAGCTTTCTATACCGAGAGCTGTAACCTCTGTTCTCCCTGCTCATGTCTTCAGGCAGTCACCGCTACCCACGGGGAGGGGGTGGGCACAGGTGGTTCTGGCTCTAGAGAGGCAGAGTCAGCTGTCAATCGGACATCCAGGTGGACCCAGACAATATTGTCAGGAACCTTCCCAGCTGCAGCTTGGCTCTGTCTGCTATATACTGACTTTGGGTCACAGGAGTACATTATTCAAAATACTACTATGACCCAAAAAAGTACATCCAAGAAAAGATTTGGCTTTACTTCTTTTTTTAATTGAGGCCTAATTAATTCTAAACCACTTATGATTTCAATTTTCTACTATGCTTGGTAATACAGGTGAAACTCGAATAATTAGAATATCGTGCAAAGTTCATTTATTTCACTAATGCAACTTAAAAGGTGAAACTAATATATGAGATAGACTCATTACATGCAAAGCAAGATAATTCAAGCCGTGATTTGTCATAATTGTGATGATTATGGCTTACAGCTCATGAAAACCCCGAGAACCCCAAATCCACAACCTCAAAAAAGTAGAATATTACATGCAATCAATAAAACAAGGATTGTACATAGAACAATATCGGATCTCTGAAAAGTACAAGCATGCATACGTACTCAGTACTTGGTTTGGGCCCCTTTTGCAGCACTTACTTTTGCACGATATTCTAATTATTTGAGTTTCACCTGTATTCCCATCAGTTTTTTTTTTTCTAATATATATATATAGGTTCAGACACAATGGATGTTTTACACTGTTCTCATTAAAGCATGACTCCAGCCAAAACGTTTCTTTTAGTTTTGGTTAGAATGGGTTTATGTGTGGTCTTTGGCCCTATTCGGGAGGCACAGGGTTGTACCATTTTCTCAGTAAAAAGAGAAAAGGTTAAGACATCTGTCAGTTTATTAGTATTGTCTGTGTCTCTGTCCCAGTGACAGCTGTGCCCCACATTTCTTGTCCTGCTCTCAGAGACAGGAAGTGAGGTAAAACCTACCCAGTGGGGATTATGGACATCAGTAACAACCTGACAACCATATTATTTACTCTTCCAAAGTCTGCTTAACTAAAAGATGGTTTTGGCATGAGTTGGGTTTCAAAGAGAACCAATCCTTAGCTGGTCTTTTGTAATAATTTGAATAACCAATCTCAAACTGTTATAATAGTGCAGGTTTACAGTGAAGTCCCTGTTCACACATTAGGCATTCTGTAAACATGCTCAAAAAAAAAGTGTGCTTTGACACGTGTTCACGGAACATGACAAAAAAGTGCATTGCACTTGCGGTGCCATTACTGCACTAGTTAATGGCACTCGAAACGTAGCCGGGCAAACGTGAGTGCCTGTGGCAGAATTTGCTACATGAGATACTTTCTCGTGTTTGTTGCACATGCAGGAACCCATTGCAATCAATGGGCGATGCACAGCACATGCAGGAAATGTCCATGCACGAACACAACATGCATTCACGCTATGCTTGGGTGTTAATGGGGACTTTGAGATGACTTAATGTTTTATTTATTTTTGTATTCAATTGAAAAGCATAAGAATCAGGCTGTAAGGTTGTCCTATATTGCTTGAGCCCGGTGCTGATAACGGACCTTTAAACTGTCATAAAGCAGAGGTGCTATCAGGATTTCATGAGAGAATATTTACAGATTATGTTAATTTCCTCCAGCAGCTCAGAAAGAATGTCTGTTATCAACCTGGAACTTGTAGCAATTTCAACCACTTTCAAAAAGCTTTTATGGCTAATACAATCAAAGGTGATTGAAAGAACCAAGGCAACCTACTAATGACAAATTTGGCTGATCACCAACATTTCAGATTCATGAATTGAAATAGATTTGATGCATTGGAATAAAAATTGCACTTAATTAGAACTCAATTGACAATAGGCACTCTGTCCAGTTATATTGCCATTTTAGGGGTTATGCATGTTCTACAAGTGGTGTTATGTTTTCATTATTATTTCATCATTATTATGCCTCATATACCAATAGAATGTTAATGTATTTGTTGTTAAAACCTACACCCTGTAACGGACAATCTGTGCACCTAATTCATGTAGCTTTTTCATAGTTCATTCTCTGGGCTGTCACCTTTTTTGTTTTGTAAGCAAATGACAAAGTGTATGAATTTTTTTTAAAATGTTTTTGTTCTTTGCTATACGTTTTTATTACGCACATTTTTATACAAAACACAAAGGAATGAGGGGAACAAACCCCATAAAAGAAACAGAGCAGAGGCCTGAGCCTCAACCAACTTGAATATATCTCTACACAATGTGCATCAAAATTATATTTGCCAGCTCCAGCAGCACGGTGCATAGAAGAGAATATCAGGGAAAACAAAGACATACAAAAGGAGAAACAAGAGGGAGAGTAGACAAACAGTACAAAACAGTCGGCCCGCCGCCCCACCACATAGGTTATCACAGGAGCAGGTAGACCCGATCAAACTCATCCAGAAAAAAAGCATCGACCCATGTGTCCCAGATAGTGGAGTATGTGGCCAAGGAGTCCTCCTGTGGTGCTGTGAGTTTCTCAAAAACCATTACTTGGGACATGATAGCAAAAAAACATTTTAATAAGAAGGGTGGGTGATTTCCAAGATCTCGCAATCACTTTCCTGGCCGCAGTAAGGATGTGGAGCAATAATTTAAACTGGTGGTTGTTAACTGCAGTTGGTTTTTGGTTAAATATAGCTATATGAAGGCACTGTGACAGGGCAAAGCCCAATACTACTCGTATTTTGGCGAAAATCTTAGTCCAAAAGCAGGTGTGGTTTTTTTTTTTTGTTTGTTTTGTTTTTTCTTCTAATGGTTTGGGATTGGAAGTGTGATGTTATTGCTGTCGCATCTTCAGCGAATAGAGATTGGTTGGCAAAACAGGTTGGGAAGGATAATGGTCACCAGGAAAAGAAGCAAGGGAATATCTTGCCAACCGTGACTCGGGAAGGGTTTAAATGTACCATGTTTATTGCTGGCTGTGTCCCCATTGGTGACAAATTCCACTAGTAGGGACACACAGTAATAGGAACCTGAAAGTGATATTAAAGAAAGATTTACAAAAACTAAAGATCAGGTGATTGTGTTTTCTTTATTTTTGCTCCTAGAGCAAAACGAGTACTTAACCTTCGCGGTGCAGGGGTAGCCCCACTGCAAGGGTTGACTTTAATCATATCATTTTGCTTCCTGAAGTGAAGGATTTGGCCTGGAGTTCCACTTAAAAAGGACAGTCTTCTTTATTGTCTTCGATATATGCTGAGAAGTTTGATAGAAACTGAAAATATCATGTCCTAACCTAAAAACAACTTATCAACTTATTTGGGTTTTTTTTTTTGTTTTAGGTTCCGTACTGTTTTTCTGTGGAATGTTTATCAATGTTTATTCTGACCACATACTACGGAATTTAAGGAAACCCGGGGAGACGGGCTACAAAATACCCCATGGTAAGTGGATAAGGAATGGTAAGGAGATTTTCTCTCCTTGTTTAGCTTACAGCATGGCCTTGCCTTTCATTAGAGACTTTTACAAAAACGTCTTGTACAATGTGCCACTATTTTACCTTAACCAAGCAGCTGACTTCTGCAAACAAAGCAGCCTATATTAGTATCTGATTTATTAGCATTTAAAGTCATTGTAGGATTGTGACTTTTTTCTGTTTTCGAGGTTAAAGGCATTTTTCCATGTTTAACAAATCAACTGAATGACCTGGAGCTGATGGCTGGAACTGGCAGCAGACTGAGCAGTCTAGTGAGGCTTTAGCTATAACTGGTTGGCAGAGCACAGTGTCAAGGTAGCAGAGCCTGAATGGAGCCACGGGAAGATCAGGATCGTAGTCAGGGTCACAAGCCAAGGAGATGCATTAAGGATCAGGTATGGAGATGTAGTGCCAAATCAGTAGATCTAGCAGAATTGAGTCACTAGCCTGAGTCGGACACAGGAGTGACTGATGCCAAGTTCAAGGTGCCAAATCGAAAAGTCAGAAGCAAGGTCAGGGACGTAAGCCAGAGTCAAACACAGGTCAGCAGAATCATACGATCAGGCAACAGGAACACGGGGAACAGCTGAAGACCACTCGGCAATGGGTTCATTTCTCACACTGAGTTTATTGTTCAATGATCATTCATGCATGTGCATGCAGGAATGCACATGGTGCGAAAACATCTACGTGAAAGTTCTCCAACGCCAGACATGTTAGCGCACATTTCTGCTCACGATTTCTGGCATGTTTGTCCACAATTCTGAGTACAAGGCTGCATGGCATAGCGTGCGCATGTGCTTATACCAGCCTGTTGGTGAGTACCTTACATTAACCCCACAGCAACACACCGGTTGTTAAAGCGGTCCCTGCTGCTTAGCTCCCCCTCCGGCGGTCTGTGTTCCCTGAGTTATCACGTCTTCTATAGTGTATAGGACTGGAGAAACACTGAGCAGCTCTACCCTCTTGTCTCCAATCCCGCTGCTTGAACCTCGGTGCCTGGTAAAGCTTCCGCCGGAGCCTTCACTAAGCAATAGGTAAAAAAAAAAAAAGGCACTCGCAAGGGGATGCGTCCATCCAATACTTTATTTGTAAAAAGGCATAACAGTAGCAAAGAAATAAATGCTGTTTTAGCACTTGTTTGTTTGCTGCTGTAATGCCTTTTTACAAATAAAGTGCTGGATGGACGGATCCCCTTGAAAAAAAAAATAAAAATTACAGCATTCAAAAAAATAAAGAAGCTAAACAAAATATTCAGAAAATAATAATTAAAAAAAATGACACAAAAAAATTTTTTAAAGTCCCCCGCCCCCCCACATACACATGCAAACATGCGTCGGGTGCGCCTATGTACGAAAACGACGATTGCGCCCAGTATGCAGCACATGTTACATATCGCCGCGAACGTCGGAGTAAGAGCAATAAGACTAGGGCCATCAATCACTGATAACACTAAACTGATATGACCCCGTCTTTTATATTATGCCAAAAAATTGGGGTGAAAAATGTTTCATAACATTTTATAGGGGAACATGTTTTTCAAGTGGTTAATATATCACGTACCCAGAATAAGCATGTATCATCTGAAGCCAGAACTTTGGATCTGCATGGCCTTTTATTTCCTACTTATACTGTAGGTAACCTTAATCCATATTATTCTT